TGTATGTTTGTGTGTGTTTGTTGTCTGTATATATATATATATATATATATATAATGATATCCGCCATTAATCACACACCTTGAATAGTTCATTGGTGAACACTTTAGCCTTTTCATTGTCCGGTAGTGACTCTGACTCTATTAACTGTTTTAACAGCCATTCCGGAGTCTTTGCGGACGTTGCCATATCAACCAAGAATTGTACTATAAGCCGCTCGCTAATGCCCACCAGTTCGTGGAGCTGATCGCCAACCCATTGTATCAGGCTTTTATCACTCATGACGCCTATACGCTTTAATCAACCACGGTGCACTTGCTAACTTCTGTATACTTTGATCGACCTAGCTAGAGCTGATACGAACTGACATATACTACTGCATTGTAGATAAGATACCTATCAGTGCAAGTACAATCCTGTTCTTGGGTAATCGTATTTCTATTCAAAAATATTTACTGATCCTATCGACACTTCTCATTCTATTTTCGAATTTCTCCCGCCAAAATGTCGTTCACAAATTTGGAAATACGCGAGCGCATACGCTGTACAATGTATCCTGACCCTCTAGAGATAACGGAACTAAAGTCCGTAGGACAATGTACGAAACTGTACATAAAGGCAAACCTCATAGCCTTCTAAATTAAACACAGACCTGGTTATTATTAATCACCTGGTTAACTAGTAGTCAACCTGGATAGTAGTCCGGAAAATTGCAGACATGGGTCTGTATTTTTTCACACATGTATTAAATTCTGATAAACTTAAGCATTGAGTGATTGGTTTTAATTACACTTCGAGGTCAAAGCATATGTATTGTCGTGAAGCAAATTGTGTGGGTGTATGAGATAATTGAGTTCGCATTCGATGCCTTCTTGTACGCACATTTTATATACGCCCAACCACCCATTCGCAATGGCGGCAAACGCACACACTAACAATTAAAATATTAAGATAAGTATAGCTCAGCCCCGTAAAGAGACTATGAGTCACGACACAATTGGGACATAGCTTGTTAAAAGTGTTATCAGTTGGCTATGGTTAAAAACAATAT